CGGGATGGTGTGAAAAATATAAAGAAATCAGCTGCCCGGAAGCATAGGTTTTATGAACTTGCTGAAAAAAGTTTTCACTTAAACAYAACKAGAARATTGAGGTTAGATATGTGTGTGAGATGGAATTCAACTTATTTGATGCTTGAACATGCCATTTATTATAAGCAAGTCTTACAACATTGGGGGCAAAGGGATAATATTTTTAAAATGTTTATGCTTTCGGAAGAAGAATGGGGAAAATGTTCTTAAAGGTTTTTTATGATGTTACTTGCATATTTTCTGCCACTAAGTACCCTACTTCAAACATTTACTTCAAGGGAGTGTGGATGATTCATAGACATTTGATGTTAGTGAGTAAGAAACCTCAGAATTTTATGACTGACATGGTTAGAAAAATGGAGAAATTTGATAAATATTGGGCTGAATATAGTATGATTTTGTCTTGTGCTGATGTGTTGGATCCTCGTTGTAAGATTAGGTTAGTAGAGTATTGTTTTGATAAACTTTATGGGGATGAAGTTGAGGAGCATGTTAATGCTATAACTAAAACTCTCCATGATTTAATGAATACAAAGAAAGTTTTTCCTCCACCTCCTTTATTGGATCTTCTAGTCAATTTGACATGAGTGAAAGAAATGATGATGGTGATGGGTTTGAGGATTATGAGCAATTTTTGAATTCGAAAAGAAAGATTCAAAGTGAAAAAACTCAGTTAGACCTTTACTTGGAGGAACAAAACCTTGATATCAAAGCAGATGTTGATGTTTTGGAGTATTGGAATAAGAGTTCACTTAGGTATCCTAAATTGGCATCAATGGCTCGAGATATTTTGGCTATTCCTATTTCCATAGTTACATCCGAATCTGCATTTAGCATTGAAAAGACGGTGATCAATCATTGGAGAAGTTCACTTAAGTCCAAGACAATTCAAGCTTTGGTTTGTCTTGAAGATTGGCTTCGTGCACAAGGCCTTGTATTAAGTAATTTTTTTATTTATTGTTTATTAAAATATATGATTCATTGAATTTTTTCTAATAGATTTTCCAATTGTATGCA